ATAAGCGCAGTGGCCGTAAAAGCGGCGGCCTCTTAAAACCGGTGGCCAAAGCATCGAACTGTTGCTACCAATATATATGTATATATGTATATATATTGGGCCAAACTACATAAATATCGCGTGAAATGCATTTGCGGCCGATAAATTTGGCAATGGCTGCTGCAACGGCGATAATCAACGCAATTGCAATCGATTTTGGCGTAATTTAGGTACGGCTTAAGTGGCTTTTGGCCAGGCTAACAAGCGGCACTGGACACCTTGATTGAAAATATCGCTGCCGATCTGCATGTGTACGAGTGAGAGTGTATGTGTGTGTGTGGGCCAACACCTAAACAACAACAGAAACAATAGCAACAATTTATATCAAACTGCGTTGATCGTACGAAATTGTTGTTAGGCAAACTACCGTTAAACTCACTTTCACAGCGGGCGGCCCGTGGCGTGTAGAGTGTGGAGTGAATCCCGCTAAAAATTACTCATACGCAACGCATTGACCCCAAACCGACAGCGCAGAGGTCGCGGCTGCAGTCACCTTCAGTTGCAGTTGGCCGTTGGCCGGCACTCGAACCTGCCGTTCGTTCAATCGTTCGTTCATTCCCCGTTTCATGCCGCCCCGTTCCGTGCCGCTGATTAATTACACCGCCCGCTGTGCGAATTCCTCAATAAAAATCATAATTTCGTGTTTGCGGCCGATGGCCAAAATGATGATTGTTGCCGCATTTATGTAAGCCACGGCTTATTAGCTGCACGAGCTGCCATCTACACAACAGCTCACTTGGTCCCCCTCCTCCTCCCTCTCCCCTACTGCCTCTTGTCCCGTGCCCCAGCTACCCCGCTGCCCCGCAGCGCATGCAAAGTGTAACGAATTTTTGATTGAAACTTTAAAATACTCGTTAGGAGGGTTTCCTCGTCGTTGCGCGTGAGTTTATCTTTTGATTAGATTCGTTAGAGTTTGTATTGGCCTTTTGTAACATAAAATTGGGCAGCTACATTGGACTCTGTGCGTGTGTGTGAGTATGAGTGTGTGTGTGTGTTTGTGGCACTCTTTTTGCCTGAATGGAGTCATTATTCACAATTTAGTAACACTTGATTTGCGTTTGGCATTTACTATATACCAAACATACACTACAAAGTGTATATACTTTTGCTACTTTTTATATTAAAAGTATGTTATGAAGGGGCATATTGGTTGTGTGCAGGTGTATGTAACAGTCAGAAGTAAGGTCGTAATGAGCTTTACAAGTTTAAATTTGCAGATCTTTGCCATGAATTTGACATTTTTGACATATTTCAGGAAACATTTCGAGCCCACAATCGATCCAATGTTAAGAATGTTTAGAGAAACATCTGTATTTTAGGGTATCTGCTAGTCGTTCAAATTCACAATAATCGTCTTATTTGTATTTTAGCTATCTGCTGATGCCGAGCATACATGAAAAAAGATACATATTTCAGTTATAAAAAAGATTTTTTTAATGCAAAACATTTTAGTTATTTTTTATTTATTTTTTATGCATAGCTCGACTTTTGAATTGACCCACTTAGCAGAGAGTTTTATTCAGACAGCTTGTTAATTATAAGATATATTTTAAGCGTTGCTTTACCAATTAAAAATATTTATTTACCAAAAATCAACATGCCCCAAAAATGTCGTGAAAGTTTACCACCAGATATATATATATATATATATATATTTATATATAAAATTATTGTTGTCATCAAAATGAAAATGAATAAAAGCCTCTCGCTGTTGCTGTCGCTGTTGTTGCACGTGGCACTTCTAATTAAGACACCGCAACAGATTTCCATATGTGTCAGTTCGCCCAAAATATCATATATATATGTATAATCCCATCTGTAGAATGGATAAGTTATTGCGTTTGTGTGCAAGCCCAGCATGATGTATTCAGAAATCATTAAGAGTTCGCATCTTGGGCCCAGCTCAGGAGCTGAGCGACTCGACTGGTGAAAGGTGCAACCAGGTTGAGCAGTGCGATCCACATATCTGACAAAGTGAACCGAAAAATTGCTTTGACGTTGCGTCAAAATTTCACACTTTTGCTCGAGATAAAAGCCAAGCAGAGTCGATGACGAACTGCGGCAGCAGCAGCCACAGCAACAGCAGCAGCAGCAGCAGTAAATGCGCCGCATTCTCCAAATATTTGACATATGCATTCAGACTTTACATCATTAAAAAGAGTGTTAAGTGCAGCATGCAGCCGAGACAGGGCAGCAGCTGAGTCGAGCCTGAGTCTGAGCCTGAGTCTGATTCCCAGTCTCAGTCGAGTCGAGTCGAAATTAGCATACAAGCCGCGCTTTTGCCATAATTTGCATATAAAATTAGCGCAACACTTTGGCCGCCTCCTTGCGCCTGCTCGCTGCTGGTGACACTTGGCAAGGCAACTCCACTGGCTGCTCATTTAGCGCCTTGCATACGCTGATTGGTTGTACACACAGAGTTGGAGTTGGAGTTGGAGTCGAAGTTGCAGCTGGAAGCTGTGCGCTATGATAATTAAGCTGAGGAGAAAGGGAGCTCAAGTACTGCTGCACTTGTTGCAGCAATTTGCATTGCCGCAGGCCTTAATGACTCACACATTCTATCAGCCCGGCCATATATACATAAACATATACTTACATACATATACATATATATGTGCATATAAAGTATATGTGTATATGGACAGTTGCGGCGCCTTCACGGCAATTAGCAGCCGGCAAAAGTTTCGTTGCCTGATTAGTCACGCCTCACTGTACAGCAACATTCCCTGAAAAATAGACATCCATAAATAACATCGAAATACCGAAAACGAAGAAGGCAACAAAAGATAGAGCTGCGTACTTAGAGCTATCCGCATTCCCTTTTCCAGCAGAATTTCTGAATAATCTCTTGATTTTGCTTCTCATAACTTTCATGCGTGAAAATGTTAAAGGTTAATAACAATGCTCTTTAATTTGAGAATGTGGCAATTATACATTTTAAATATGTATAAAATATCTACAAATTAAACATTGTTTTAAGCATTTCTGTTAAGATGAAATATGAAACAACTCAGCTCTTAGGCTGTAATAAGTCTTGTAAAATATATAACAGCAACAGCTACCTATGAAAGCAATATGATATAGCATATAATAAGTATATAATAAATAAAGAAAGATCTTAGTAGATTTTAATGACTGAGCTACTAGAGACATAGATCTAAGGCAAGAGTGGACATAGTTCTTTTAATGCCGATCAAGCATATCTATCTTATCTTCCTTGGCCTACACATGCTATAACCAATTTATAATAAGCTCGACAAGCGCATAAAAGGCAAAAGGAATTTCGAATTAATTGAGTGAGAGAAGCGCATAGAAACGATAACCAATTAAAATGGTAAAAAGTTATTATATAAATGGAAATTGATTGGGGAATAAACAATAAACGTGCATAAATTCTTGATGCTGCGATAGATGCTTGAATTTAAATTGAAAATTGTAAATTTACACAATTATTGATTTCGCTTTTACGGTACTTATCCGCTTCATAATTATCTTGTTGGATTGGGAACGCAGGAAGCCTTCTGGATGGATCACTAAATCAATGCAAGTCATAAACTGCAATATGCTTTTTAATTTATAGAATATATATATATATATATGTATATATATAAATTCGTATTGAGAGTAATAAAAGCTGTAAATAAATAAATTGGAAATTTAAAAATAAATATTTATTTACATATAATTGCATGTCAGGCATGGAAATTAATGCGATTGCAGTTTATGACAAGCGATTAAAATTTAAAATGACAACATGAGCGAGTGGAACGGACGAGCGGCGCAGGTGAGGGCAGGTGGAGGCGGCTGCTGGCTCGAGCTCTGACTTGGTAGCTAGCCAATAACTCGTTGCACTTACAATGGGGTTTAGAGAGGCTTTAATTATGCAGAAGTGTTTTAAATTGGCCGCTGGCTGCATTCGACTTTAGTCGCATTGGCAGTGGCAGTGGCTCAATTAAGTAGCACAGATGCCATAAGCCGATAGCTTGTTTTACTCAAGACTGACATTCAGATAGGGTTATCTATAGCCACAGCTACTGCACACGAAGAAAATAGAAGTTGACACTCGAAGTGGCCCGAAAAATGGAAGCGTTAAAGAGAAGTTCGAATAGTGCGGCTCGTTCGAATGGTTCATTAGTCAAACGTTAGGTGACAATCAGATAGGGCCTTGGGCCGTGGTGGCACCTGCGCCTAGCTGAGAATTGGGGACAGTCTACAGCCTGCAGCATTCCCATGTCAACAAGAGACAAACCAGCTGCTTATCAGCGCTGATAGATTGTGGGACCCATGGAGAAAGTCGCGGCCACGCGAAGGGCACCGCAGCTCCGCAGCCCCGCCGGCTTGGATCTGGAAGGAAGATCGCCCGCGGCGCGATAAACACCCAAACAAACGCATGAATTACAACAAAAAGGCAAAGTGTCAATAAAATTGCGTAGATTATTGCAGGCGAGCTCATAAAATTGTTTACAATCCTCCCAGACCAGCCTGCCCGGGCGACTGTCCATTCAACTGCCAATTTCCTGGTGCGTGTCGTAGACCAACTTCAACTTCAACTCCCAAGTCCGGAGTCCCGAGTCTAAGATACATGTGCCTGCCGGCATTGTCCACAGTTGCCTTTTTTTATATGTTGTATATGAATTTATTAAATAAATGCATTACGCTATAAAAATGCTGAGAAAGAAAGCAATACTAAGTCCAAGCCGGCGTGTGCATACGCTAGCAGATCTTAGAAAATAACTATAAACTAAATATTAAATATCAATTTATTTTCCTTACGAGTTTTTCTTAAGAAATATTGTTATATATTTCCATATATAATTATTAACTAGAACTGACTTGATATTCTTTTAATTAAGAATTTGTTACTTACTACAAATTTCTTTTAAAAAATCCCTGTTTTTTTAAGAGAAGCTAAAGGTCTCTTTTTTTTTTATTTTCTTTATAAATATCTCTGTAGCTAATTTTCTCGCGACATCAGCTTTTATTAAAGACTTTTCTGTTCATTTTGAGAATTTCTCTTCGCCTTCCACTGCTCATATGGCTGTATGGAATTTCCATATATTTGATTGAATTTACTTTTCAATTTCCTACTTTACTTCTTCAAGTACTATTTTTTCCAAATTTCTTCCTTTTTCGTCAATTCTCTGTTTTGCGAATTTCACTTTAAATTTCCTTATTCAACTGTTTTCGGGAATTCCGTTTCGAATTTCCCACTTTGTACACTATTACAACAAATGCTTTCAGTTCATATTGCAGCAGCTAATCATTTTTCTTAAAGAGTATTTCCAGTTGTCTACATCTATTTAGTTTTTGCTCTCAGTTTCAGTTGTGCCCAAGTGTCTAGCAACGGGGTGTCCCGCAACTGTCCAGTTGGCAGTTGCAGCTCCAGTTGGGCATCTCGTGTTGCGCCCTCAGCGCCCATTGCGACAACTGCAATATTATTGTTAATATCATCGTAAATTCGAAATTCTTATGCTTATTGAATTTTCATGTTTGCCAGCGACCGGGCAGGCGACACGTACCTCATCCAGTGCTGTTTGCTCTCTGTTGCATTGTTGTTGTTTGCCTAGTTGCTGTTGCTGTTGCTGTTTGTGTGTCATAATACATGCAAACGATTTTAGTTATGATAAGAGACGAGTGTCAATAAATGCTGCTGGTCCAGAGCCAAGCAAAGCCGAGCCAAGGCCGATGCCAAATTAACTGAAATTGCAATTTTATCAAATTTCCACAATTTCCGTTTTAGTTTGTTGTTATTATAATTGCTTTGCTTGTTTGTCTATTGCCATATAATAGCAATTAAATGTTTACTCAGCAGCCACATAAATTGCCTTTTTATTGTTTGCAATGTGCAAATTTTATAATATTCCCATAGCAGCTGCCATTTATCAGATTGAAATTGCTTTCTTGGCCATAGAAAGCCAAGATATCAATTCAATTCCTTTGTCGTTTATGACTTGTGGAGCGGCTTCTCTTTCATTATTCTGAGGAAGATGCAATATCAAATCATTAAAATTTCCATCCATGAGTTACACAAATATTTGCATTTGATATACAGCGCATACCTGCAGAGCTTTATCTTTGGCAATCAGAGTATCGCCTTACAATGAACAACCGCATTTTGAGCATGCGAGAAAAAAGTGACAACATCCCCAAGGCCTGGGACGCTGCAAATAACTCAATCCTTAACAGAACTGACAGAAACCTTATAAATACAAGAATATGTTGGCAGCGTTTGCAGTTCGCAGATTGTTGTTGGCTGCTAGCTGTTTGTTGTTTGCTGTTTGCTCTCTGCGATCATCCGATCACCCGATGCCGATCCCGATCCCGATCCCGATCCCGATCCCGATCCCGATCCCAAATAAACGTGTGGTTAACATCACATACATGGGAATGCAGCTCTGTGGGCATGGCCATAATCATATGAACGCTCAGAGAACAAGTTTCACTTAGTTAGAAGCCACTGCCTATCGTCACTGCTTGTTTGTCCACATATACATACGCGTATTGGGAGCTATTGGAAAATAACAGATTTAATTTGTCTAACAAACTGCTACCCACAAACACAATCACACACACGACGCCTCGCCATGTCAGCGGACAGACAGCCGTCATATTGAGATCTCATCAAAAGACCGCACAACAAGTTGCGCTCCATGCCCAAAGCCCCAGTGATAAAACGAATCAAAAAAAAACCTAAGAGAACCCATTGAAATATTTTGACAGCGGCGTGGCAGGCGTTGAAGTTCAAGAGAAATGTCTCAAGTGCATTCGAAGTATTTCGTAGTCTGACCGCCAGCTGACAGCTGCGATCTCTGTATCTCAAAACGGGCAAATCAAAAAAGGTGAAGGGGCTCAGAGCACACAGGCGTACAAGACTGAGCATAGCCATATTTTGATCACAGTGGCTTATCACATTGATAATGACAATCGATGATTCCAATGAAGGCTGGGCCCAGCTGGAACTCGGCTCGATTTGTTACACATGGCTTTTGATATGTTTTTTTTTTTTTATTATTTTCTTAACATATATTTCCAAAGGTCTGTTACAGTTTTCTTAGTGGGCCCTGAGGCCGAAATGTAAAATTCATTTGGCTGAAACCACTTTAAAAACGTATCTTAAAACGTGACGCGCTTTCATATTTTGTGAAGTGTTTGTTTTAGATTTTGTCGGTCGCCCGAAGTACAAATTGAAGATACGCACACAATGGGGTATACACACACACACATACACATACATATATACAAAGTCTAGCAATATTTGTAGCGAATGAGAAAATTCAGTGCGAGTCTTAATGAAATTAACATAAGTTTGTTGTTGCACTCAGCTGAGCTTCAAGAGGTCCACATACTTACAGCCAAGTCTACAGTCCAATTGGGCTAACGTACTATATGCTGCGCGTATAGACGCTAATACAGGAATCAGATGCGGAGCTGGGCACTTTCAATTTGTTATTATAACAAATTAATTTTGACGGCCTAGCTGATTGCAAAAAACTGTCCAATTGGCATTAAAGCCTACGCCAAACAGCATGCTCCAATCGGAATGGCCGTCTGGCAGACTCAGCTTCTATTGTCAGGTCGGCTTCGTCTGCGTCTGCGTCTGTGTCCGCGTCTGCGTCTGCGTCCGCGTATGTCTCCCGTTGCCCAGTTGACAGCTCTCCAAATGCGAAAACAGATCAAAGCAAATTATGTGCAACGCCTCTTGGCTGCTTCTCCGCCTGGCTGCTTAGCACTGGGCAGCTCTTAGAGCTCTCAACCATTGGCAATAAACCAAAGCGCTTGGCATCCAGATACAAATACCACATCGTATTCGTATTCGCAGTTAAACAAACTCAAAGCGTACGATGGCCAATGGATTTTCATTTGCGAGCCGGCAAGTATTTCATAAATCAACAAACTGCGACGTGAACACGTGGTTCTGAACGGTTCGCCGCGGCGAGGAGGGCCGAGCATAAGATGCGACTCTGTGGAACTGTATGATGGCTCGATTAAATGGATTTCAATGTGCAGAACTTGTCTCTAGAGTCTCTCGTATTTCCATTTCATCAACAGCCATCAGCAGCAGCAGCCGCAGCCGCAGCCGCAGCCGTAGCCGTAGCAGCAGCAGCAGCAGGAGCTCAGCTCCGAGCAGAGGAGGGCGTCAGAGGCTGAGAGAGAACTCATAACAAATTTGCGCGCTTTTATGCCCACAAATTGCCATGTCTTCAGCCAAGTGACAGCGCAATTATCGAAGGCCTAGCCAGCCGCGCGGAACTTGCGATTCTGATGGCTAATGGAACGGCTGGAGCATGCCACAAGCGCAAACTGCAGTTGACAGTTTGTTAAAGGGCGCTGAATTGATGAATTGTCTATTAGCAGAGAAGAAGCCCATTTAGCATTTTGTCAGCCCATTAAAAGTTCCTGTCATACGTTCAGATATGTATGCCAAATTTAATATTCAAATACTTTAGATAAATGATGAATGCAAAGAAGGGAATTAGTTCTGTGCCGCATGGGTGCCTTCCAGGAATAGATAACGCAGCTCCTTGGCGTCGGCGGGCGCACGGCACAAAGGACACTCAATCGAGCGATTCAGATGCACGCGAATGCACATGTCCCCAAAAACGTGTCCACATGCCAGAGCGACCACGCGATGGCTACCAGACGAGGCCCACGTCTCGAGGCAAATCGAGCAAGTTATGTAATTGGGATCGACTTGAGTGGCGTCCTTTTGTTCAATTTGCGTCTTCAGTTCATCGATTTGCTGCAAATAGGTCTCCTCCTGACGTTTTAGATCCGTCTGAAGCTTAGCCTCCATCTGATCCCGCTGCAGCAGCTTCTGTTCAAATTCCTCAACGAGCACTGTCTGTGCTTTGGTCAAGCTAGCGATTTGCTCTTTTTCGCAGTGGCGATCGGGTTGGAGGAGGGGCTTCTGCACCTCGTCCAGCTGCTGGCACAGTTCCTTCGTTTGCTTCAGCACCTCTTCCAACTTGTTGTTTATAAGATCCAGTTGATTCAACGCAAATTGTGACTTGTCAATTGCCAGCATTTTCGTCAGGACCTCCATGCCCGCCTGTAGGCCTTTTATGCAACTATTGTATGCCTCCTCCAATTTCAACGAGGACGACTTTAGCAAGTCGGCCTCGTACGTGGCATTGGATAGCTTGCATTTGAGCTCATTGCGTTCCTTAATCAGAGCTTCAAGTTCCCTTTGAGCTTTGCCCTCGGTGTCCAGGCCACGTTGCTGTTTGGCTGGAGGACCACCCGAAGCTGCTAAACGTTTTGGTCTCATAGTTCAACTGTTGTCTACGTACTTGAAAGAAATTAAGTTTATATATTATTTGATAAAAAAAAAGCTGACACTCTCCACGTGGTCCAGTCGACGTAAAAAAAGAAGTTTCTCTCAATGTTACCAAACATTGACATCCGTCCAATGTGTACCCAAGATGTGCCAATCGGATTAGACAGCTGGGTATGGTCACACTTTTTCCATACATGCTCTAGCATTCATTTTAATGTCATTCTAACCTGAGACTGGAGCAGGCAGCAGAGATTGTGAACAAATATCTGAAAAATCGGAAAATCTTTTTGAAAAATGCCGACTTACACGAGATCGGAGCTGTTAGCCATAAGGGAAAGCATGTCCAATAAACCGAACTCGTCGCAATTGAATCAGCAAGGCCAAGAGATGCCGGAGCATCTGGCAGGTGAAGAACTGTCTGGGGTGGAGGAAGTATTAAATCCCATTCAGGCTTTGTGGAAGAAAACCAATGAAATACAGCAGCACGTCGAGGACATCTACTCAAAAATTGATCAGAGCCAGTTGCAGGGTGGAGGAAAAGAGGAGCGCGCCTTGAAGGTATTTAGGCATGCCAGGAATACCCTAGCGAACTTCTATCATCAGCTGCAAGAGCAGATATCCTCGATTACAATGATGGGAATGCCCGCTCAGCACTCCCAGAAGCAAATGTTGAACGATGACTCGTGCCTGGAGGTTATAGCTAATCTCAAAAAACAGGCTAAGGATCATTGCCAGCAAGTAAAGCAGCTAAAGAAGCTGTTGAAGGTGCAGATGAAGGTGATGGACAAGCGTTTCGTGGAAATAGATCGGGCTATCGAACAGCTTAAGATCGACTATGAGAATATCGAGTCTTCTACACTGAATGAGGATCTTTAGAGTGGGTCCAGTTCAAAGCCCGCTTATAACGCCCTACATCTGATCTGCTTTAATAAATAAAGTATATAAAACAAGATAAGGCTTCTTTCTTGCTTAGTTTTCTCTATATTCTAGAGCTATCGATAGTATGTTTATTTTCATATCTAGCCGAGTTTTGTCAACTAAACAGAACCGCATCACTGCTCAGATGCTGCGTCAGCTTTTCGACGCCTTAGAGTCTAGCAACATTTGCAGACCCTTGGCAACATTTTATATACAGATATGCATGTATATATACAGCCATATGTATATATACAGAACATTCTTCAAACGAAGGGCAATCGAAGCACAAGTTTCTGTAGCGCCGCTCAATCCTTGGATTGGATTTAAAACATAGGTATGTATATATGGATGTATATGAAAGATTATCATAAATGTATTGAAATTCTGTCACGCTTAAAAGTTGTTAGTGCTGCCACTGCGTTGCGCAACAACCAATTATTCGCTGGCGTTGCCACACAGTTTGCAGGCAGTGAGTACTCAAGTATTTCTATATTCCTCAAAAAAGCTGACACAATATCACATCACTAGTTGAGATAATTCCAAAGAGATCGTGCGAAGCGCTCACTCTTCAAAATTCTAGAAAAGTTTATGATATATCAAGAAATCTGTTTAAATTCATTTTAATCAATTAGTTAAAGTAATGTAAATATCTCGGAAATCAAACTATAAAATATAATTTATCAGTTCTACGAAAGATCACATAAAAAGGGTATTCCCAAATAATTCCTATGCATTCTATATATTTCAATTACAGTTTCAAATTAACATCGAACATTTTGAAACATGCATAATCTGAAGAAGGAAACAGATGTAAAGATTCCTTTACAGCCACAGGAGACATCAGTAGAAGAGAAGGATGAAGTGAAGACAGATTCTGAAGCGCAGGAGTCAGATTGCTGCAAGGCATTACGGGAGAAGACGAATACATTAAGTGTTCAAATGAGCGAGCTGTCCATCAAAATTGATGATCTTCAGTTACATAATAAACCCGAACATATTGAAGCAGCACTGTATAACTTTTCTCGCGAGCTGGACAATCAGCTGGCCTCTCTGAAAGCGATTCAAAATTTGCAATCTGAAGAGTTTCAGCAGAAAATATTGGAAAAGGATGAGATGCGTCTTCAGTTGCTAGACAATTTGAAAAAGCAGGAGCAGTCCCATTTGCAGGAAATGGAGCAACTGAAAGTCCAGCTGGAAGCCAAGGACAAACAATGCTTGGAGCTGGAGCAGCAAATCGAGAATTATAAGAACAACAATGATATCAACAGCGCTTGCCCCATTTGCTTTGAGCCGTGGAATTCGTCCACAAATCATCGTCTGGCCTCCCTCCGGTGTGGCCATCTCTTTGGCGATAGCTGCCTTCGGAATTGTCTGCAGCGGCTTGCCGAGTGTCCACAGTGCAGATGTACAGCCAGTTCGCATGATATACGTTATCTCTATGGACGTCCATTGTAAGATGTGGTCTATAAGCCTAAAGATTTATTGAGAAGTTTCTGCGTGTCATATTGAAGTGATTTTGAAATGAAAAACGTTTTTGCATAACAAAAAATAAATATTTAACATGTTTTTATTTTAGATACTTTCGTTTACTTCTTATTTAGTTGGAAAAGCTGCTAGAATGTGCTTTGAGAATTTATATCGATATACATATATATATTTTAATTTCATCTGTGTAATATAGATTCATATGCCAAGCATTTACCACTTTACTACAGTTTGGCGGTAAAATATCTAACATTCTTCACATTATGTTGATGTTTGTCTTGTAGGGAATTATCATGCCAGAGTCTACAATTATGCGCTGCCTGGCAGGAATGCAATACATGCAATGCCAAAGCGAATAGAAGCCGCCACAGCACTTGGCGAACAATGGACACCGGCAAGGCCGGATGCTGTAGCTGTTGCAGTAGCCAGGCCAGTGCCATTTGTAGAAACTGCATTGAATCTGGACATCGAATGCCGAAAATACAATTATGCTTGCTCGATCAGAAACACGATCTGCAATGCAAAGAGTTAAGAACACTGCCAAGGAAAGCAAATCAATGGATGCGTTAAACTGTAATCGACATTCCAGCAATGCATAGCTCATTCTAATGCAAACACTGGCTAAGGCACCTTTGGCTAAGCCGACTGCGACTGCCAATTGATGGTTATTGCCAATTTGTATGCGACGGCAACGGCAGTAACGGAGCCAGCATATCATTTTCAACTGTAGGATGTGGCAACAGGCAAAGCAGCGGTGGCAGCAGCAGCAGCAGCAGCAGAAACAACAGCGACAACAACAACCGATGCTGGCGATAATGGCGATAATAATTGTCTTTATCTTTTTAGCTCAACGGCCGGTCGGCCGGCCAGCCAGCAGGCCTCAGCTCCAGCGAATGGACGTCGCCTCGTCTAACAATGAATTCCATACAATTGGCCGTTAGCCACACTTTCCCAGACCCGCACAATGGGCTGCGGTTGAGATATTTTATCAGAGGGAGACAAAAACGTCCAAACATTTTCAGTGTCCAGTTTGCATTCAGTTTTGTGTAAAGCTGTGGCAATAAAACTTATAAGAAATATGTGTTGAAAACAAAAATTTAGTTATTTGCATATCAAGCAAATTGGGGGCGCCCAAAAGCCAAAATAAAGAAAACCAAAATGAAAATGAAAATAAAAATAAAAATAAAAGCAGATAGATAAATAAATAAATACAAGCACTCAGTCCAAATGGAGTCATAAAACTTGATAAATGCTACACATTTGCTCAACTTTTTCTAAATGATAATGTTGATGGCGACGCCAGGCAGAGGTCTCGGAATGTAAACGGTACCAACTTGAATAAACAATAATAAAAAGTTAAATTTGTTGTCGACGACACGAACTGAGCTGAGCTGAGCTGCGTTGAGTTGAGTTGAGTGAGAGCATGCAAATGCAAATGAGAATGTTTTCAAGATTCTTTGGGTCCTTGGAAGTCGTTAGAAATTTCTTTAACGGAAGCTTTCAGCTCAGCAAACTTTCCATTCATTTAGCTTACCATCTTATGAGAAGGCATATGAGTTCTGATTAAAAAATGTGTCAAATCATAAATGAAACTAATTTTAAATATTTCACAGTTCATAGTTCGACTCGATCAGCTTGGATAAATAATAAATTCTATAAATTCCTAATTTAAATAGAATTTTAAAGGCCAAATAGGTGAAAGGTAAAGTTTGGCTTAACATACAATAGTTTTCTTTTGACAAGTTGCAAATTCTGAATTCAGCTGATCTTCCAGTGCAATTAGTCCATTGATTTGTCTTCTTTTGTATTGGCTTACAGCATTCCAATTCTTTACATAACCTTTTCGAAGTTTCTGACAAATTTGTGTCTCTGCACATTCCATACGATACACATGGAAGGTAGAGTAATAGGCAAAGGCAGCTTGGTCAAGACATCAAGGTAGTCGGGCTCACCCGTTTGTAGAACTTCTACTTGTTCCACCTCGTTTGCTGCATGACACTAAAACAGTTATGACGCCTGTGTCACACTCAAACTACTTTACAATATTTGTGCGCTGCCTCAGCGACGTCACTCTTAGATACACACGCACACACACATAGAGAGAGAGACTGGCATTTAATGTCTTTTTTAATTGAAAACTTAAATTTGAAGCGACATGGAAAGGCTTTTATCAGCGCCGTAGTCAATGTTACGGGCGCTGGGCTGCCTCCGTTCGGACGACTCCTCCCCCTTCAAGCTATCCACTTGCCTTGCAGTTGGCTCCCTCTAGGTTCTAAGTGGAGTTGTAGTAGTTGCAGCTACTACTGCCGCGGCTACTGTCTGCTTGTCAGTGCTGAGCTCCAAATGATGTTGATGATAAATAAAGTAACGAGTTGGCATTAAAATGATGACAGCCACTTCACAGTAGGTGGGAAGGCGGCTGCTACTCTGATGCAGGCAGGCCAAGCCAAGTGCTCCGACAATGACAACCAATGTTGGCGTTTATTAATAATTAGGTTGAAGCTCTTCACTATTCGGCTATGCGCGCCAATTGACATGACGACGATGATGATGATGATGATGATGATGATGGTGACGATGATGTTGCTCATGCCGAGGCTCGGCTCATTATAATTAGAAAACTTTCCAAGTAGCTGAGCTAGTAAAATCGTTACATTAAATTACAGCGAACCTCTTTGTTTCTGACAACTGCAATCAACTGCTGCCGCTGATTTGACGTCTCCTCTCTTGCTCTTCTCCTGCTTTAACGGGGCATCCATAAAATGTTGCCACAAAATTCATATTCATCAACTTAAACGGCGGGCCAAGTGCCTCGTATCGCATACATACATATATGAGCTAGCTAGCTATGTGTGTGTGTGTGTGTGTGTGTGTGTGCGTGTATAAGCACGCACAGTTCGGTCAAGTAATTACCCATCGTTTTTTGGCACAATCTTGACCACCTCGTTAAATGTTGGCGCGGTGCTCTCAAAGATCCAACCCCCATTTCGGGCAAATTGCATGTTGCCCCTGGTTAGCTGTTGTTGTTGCTGTTTGAATGAGAACGAGTTCATTTGGACCACAATTCGATCGTTGCCCATTTCAATAAAACTTCCACTCATATTACGCTGATGCTGCTTTTTCACATTGGCTTCTCTGCTGGTCATAATCATTACGGGAAAGTCGGTTGCGCCTTCAGCTGCTCTTTCGAAGATGGCATAAAAAACGAGAGCTTGTTATTGAAACGATCATTCAGCAAACTGGGTTTATTGTTATGTTTCACGGTAAGTTGGCAATTTCATCGGCGTGAAACAACAGGTAGCCTCTAGCCCAGGCTGCAGAATTATGCCCATTCGATAGCATTTCTGAATAGCCATATGCTAAACTGGCGAGCCAGCCTGTAAATACTGAACAGATTTATAGCTGTCTACTTAAAATGCTAGATGCTAGTCTCCGCTCATGTGACAGTCGAGAGCTTCAAGGCTATAAATATAAAAAAATCATCATATAACTCTTTTCTCTCTTGCATGGCGTTTGCGAAGCAGCTGTCCAATTTCTTAAATATCCGACACACACACACACAGAAACATACATACACGTACAGCGAGATAGCAGAGGGATCTGGGCACTGTCAGACGTAGGGCCGCCTGCCGCTGTCAATGTCAGCACATCAAAAGTTGTCAAATATCAGTTATCAGCAGGCAAAGTAACATGCTCCAAACCTACGGAGCAGAGTCGAAAGGCACACAAGGCAAGAAGGAGCACGGCGAGTGCCAGATAGTCCCATATTGATGTCCAGTTGCATGTCGAGGCACAGCCAGACGAGGAGTCGACCAATCCAACTGACTGACTGACAGTTGACAGTTCAGCCAGGGACTGTGCGTTGCCCCTCGTAGCAGCCAGGCTGTCTGCCACAGTCATTCATATTGTCTTGTTGTTGCTGTTCCTGTTCCTGTTGCCATTGTTCCCATCGAGAGATAAAAGCAACCTTTGACAATTAAGGCAAACACAGTGTGAAAACCTAACGCAGAAGGTTGCCACTGAACTGGAATCAAATGTTGCTAATGTTCAAAGAAAAAATCTTTCAAGTCTTATCAGCAAACTCCAATGGACTTTGGAGTCTGATATGCTAGATGCAAATTTAAGCTGTCTGTCTCCATGTCCAACAGCTACCGTGGGCTAGTCCAAAATTAGATTTTCCTGTACAGCAACACAAAATTTATTGTGGTGCAGCCAATGCATTCATTAGACGCTTCCTATGTTTGGGTGGCTAGCACATTCCTGGCCATGGACATGGCCACAATTCACTCAACACACAGACAGAGAGAGAACGAGAGATAGAGAGAGCGAGAGAGTGAGCAAGAGTAGGATGGCAGGTATTCATTTCAACGCTGCTCGAGCTCGTAAAACTGTCAAAATGCACCGGCTACCGGACGGCTGTTGCTTCTATGTCCATATATACATGCAGCTAGCTGTCTGACTGTCTGGGGCTAGCTGGCGGCTCGAAATGCGAAATGCGAAATGCTATCTGCGCCACACATGCAACAATTAGCAAAACAAACGCGATATCATAAAATAATATTAATTTGTAAAACAATCGCTAGCGTAAACAACAACGACAACATATAGCCGGGCCTAGGCCAGCATAGCCTTGCCTGGCTATCGGGCCAATCCTCTTCGGGCACCCCACAATTAAAGGCTGCGCCGCTGACGTCGCTGCGGACGCCGTCGCGCATGCGTAATAAGCACTTTTCCGTCTGACAACACAATAAAATGTCATGATATGCCCCACGCTCTGTGGGATTCCGTCCGCCCCGGCAAACGTTGAGCCTGCAATGAATGCCAAGCTGCATCCCCACTCTCCTGCTCTGACTCTGTCCGTGCTCCGGCCGTCGTATTTGTTTTTAACTTGTCCAAAACTATGGCCACTGTCAGCCAGGCAGCATCGACTCCACGTAGTTTCGGGCCTTTTGCGCATTCTTACAGCATATAAACGTCTCGGATTGCAATTAAAATCAATAAATCGGTAACTAGCCTGCCAGCTGGTTTATAACCGCTGCGCCGCGTAGCGCTCAAGATTTACGCAAAGATCGCATAGATGCGGCT